GATGTTCTAAGTTGCGTAAGAAATCTCATTAACTGTAGTTATATCCCCTTGTACCATGTCCTGATGTCAACTGAGGCAGGTTTCCAGGACCATCAAATCCATCTTGAACAAACTTACCCTGGAGAAGTGCCTTGCGAAAAGTCAAAGAGAAAGGGTTTGGGTTGTCTGAGAAATCTGAGAATGATGGGAAAACCCTTGAAAACCACCAAAATGCAAATGGGATTAGAAGATGGGTAATTGAGTATTTATCACGTATTATCACATGTGTTTTTTTCCAATTTGAACATGAATGGCATTGATTTACTATGATTTTCCCATTGAACACTGCCATTTTACAGGCGTATCCTGATGGTATCAGACCCTTTTGATCAGACGTGGCCCTTTTGGAAAGGGATTCGAAACATGAGGATCTTGTCGCTTGAGGGACTCAAATGACACTCAATTTTCAGTGGGTTTGGAGATGGTTAGAGGTTTCTTCTTCTGCAAACTTCATGGCAACCTAAAGTTCATATTCTATCATATGGGACGGTTTTTCGCAGGTCAATCGTCCTTGGGGACATCCTTTTATATGGAGATGTGAATGATGTTTTCTATGTCTTTCCAGTGCATCCGGGGAAGATGGACAAACTATTATATGTATATATATATATATATATGGAAAAAATCCTAAAATGGTATCCGAAATCATCCAAGTGTCGCATATATTTTAGTCTTGAAACCTATTGAAACCCATGGTGACTTGGGAGTGCCCCATTTCAACGCGATGGGTTTTTGGTCACGCCGAGGTTCGCCAGTCTGTCTCAGCAACTTCTCGAATGCGCCTTGGACAGCCAGGGAAGGGATTCTCCAGAAACTGGTGATAAGAAAACCTGAACAGCCATGGCTATCAGTTATAACTGGTTATTTCAATGGGATTATATATTCTATAAATGGGGTTATAAGTACTTATAACTGGTATTTCAGGCCATAACTGAAACATGTGGATCAAACTAGAGGGTAATAGCTTGGTCGACTCCACTGATATATCTGATATACCTGAGATTTATACTTGTTTATCTGGTTGGTGGTTTGGAACCATGGAATTTTATGACTGCCCACATTGGGAATGTCATCATCCCAAGTGACATTTTTATATTTTTCAGAGGGGTTGAAACCACCAACCAGATAAGAAAACCTGAAACATGTGGATTAAACTGGTGAAAATGATGAGATCGGATATTTCGCCAACAATATATTCGGGTCTATGTACTTGCACATTGGGTCTATGGATGCTTTTACACATGTTCCATCATCACCAAGACAAGCTTGACGCTTTGGCCATTCGGCAAAGTATTTGCTCCCTTGGACCTCCATTTTATGGGTCTAACCCCAACAGTTGGGTCTAACTTATCTGCTTATGTCCCATGTCCATCCATGTCCAACTACCCTCTGGTAAACTAACATAACTATGGAAAATCAACATTTTTAATAGGAAAATCCACTATAAATGGCCATTTTCAATAGCTATGTTAAATTACCAGAGGGTAAGTCGAATTGCAACCCCTCAGCATCCAGTAGCTGTGGATGAGTATTTGCTTTGTCCAGTATTGGTAATTGCTTGGCAGTTTTCCCCGTCCATCCATGTGTGAATCACCCATTTCCCTTCATTTTCTCGTTAGAATGATTTTGGCCGTTGTCCCATTTCATCTAGGTTTTTAGCAGTTTTTTACCCCAAAACCTCCCAGCATTTCCCCATTTTCCAGACATGTACCCCACGTTTTCCGCAGATTTCCCCCATGAAATGCCCAGTGTCCCAGGTGGAATCTTCTCCTCAGAGCACTTGGTGGTTCTCATCCACGAGGCCATTCTGACTGGAGGGGAGGATCCATTCCACAAGATCGTTGGATGAAAATTAAAGACCTGGACCAGAGATTTAAGCTGATTTAAGTTTATGTTTGTTTTTCTTTGGTATGAACATAAGTCTATGTTTATCTATGTTTTAGTATATTAACCAAGTCAATTTAAATTTATGTTTGTTTTCTTTTTAGTATGAACATGTATGAACCATCCAATTATTGGGGAACCCAATGTTGGCCCAAAACATATTTGGGAATTGATAGCAAGAATGGGGAATTTAAGCCACACTGAGATGTATTACGGATCCAATGGGGATATACAGTCAACTTGAGAATCTGGATGAATTATGGGGAATCCCCTATAAATGGAGGCTTTAGTGGAAAAAATCAAACCAAATAAAAATAATGGTGTATCCTCCATTGCCATGTTTGATTACATTGAGGGTACACATCCATTCTATTACTACAGTGTAAATTGACGATTTTATCTAGTTGGATAGCCTATTTATCCAATATTGGGGATGGGTTATAACTATTGGTACAAGCGTATAGCTCATCTTATGTATACATATATATATACATATGTATAACATATTTGGATTATCCCGTTTTTGGTGCTAAAAAAAATAAAAATCCTTATCTGTTGATAACTATATATTGTAAACATATGTGTTGTATTAGGCTGGTTATCTAATGGATTGGCTGGTTATCTATTGGTGTAACACATGCAAGAACCCATTCAATACCTATTGTGAATGGAATCCATAGGGTGTACAGGATGGGGACCCCAGTTCTCGCTCGCGTTCAGTTGCCCCTTATTTTATTGTGGCTGAATTAACTCTGGTTTATGGTAGATGACATGGTAGATGACATAACGCTCGGATGTTAATGGATGTCATGGTAGATGGCATAACCCCATGGCATAACCACGGTTTATGGTAGCTGACATAAACCCCATTAACTCTGGTTTATGGTACTCATGGGGGCCACATAAGCCAACATTCACGTCACGTTTAGCAATGAAGTTTCAAGAACGTGCAAAGTGTAGAGTTATGGCCATGGCTATGAGTTATAACTGGTTATTTCATTGGGATGAGAAACATTCTATAAATGGGCTTTTGTTAGTACGTATATAACTGGTATAACTATGTATAACTCGGGTCATAACTGTAGCCAGGTTTCAAGCCATAACTGCAACCATTGGGAGATATAACGTACGTCCGTGGGTCAGAACGATTGGAGTTTTTTACGAAAATGAGGGATTTCCCTGTTAAGACGCTTTGTCTTGCTGAAACAAGCCACAAGTTATGACAGTTATGATGTATGCATAAAAAACATATATATTATATATATTATATATATATTCACCATTTTGGGACAAACCCATACCCATATCAATCACATTCAATCACCCCATCACTTGGTTTATCAGATAGCTGCCATCATTTTTATGGTGAACCGATGTGTTTTTCTGGGTAACATGTTCTTCTTTGTGGGACAAATCCAACGTGAGAAACAGCACCGAAACCAGCTTGGCCTGTTGTCTTCGAAAAAATCCGGCAGGTCTTTGAGAAGGCGACCACCCAGCATCATTTCATCGAAGCATGGCTCTTCTTATTGGTGCGTTTTACGCAGGGAATGGGGGAATGATCCCAGTCATCACTATATAGTAATGTCATCATCCCAGCAACCTCCAGCAACCCATCCATTCCCTACGTTTAGCACCAGTAAGTCTTGGATGTTTCCGGAAGGTGGTTTGGAACGTGGTTGCGGTCATAATTGGATCAAGTCCATGAAATGAACAGTCCTGGTTGGTGGTTTGGAACATTTGTTTTTTTCCCATTCAGTTGGGAATGTCATAATCCCAACTGACGAACTCCATCATTTTTCAGAGGGGTTAAAACCACCAAACGGAGTCCTATATGGATCTTGCAGCAATCTACAGAGTCAGCCCCCCAGTTGTAAGTTTACAAAGTGTATATCCACGCACTAAACCTCAGTTGGCCAAGTGGTCTTTGCCAACTTACCTACAGGGTGGTGCCCCATAGTTGGCGAAGTTGGTTTATAAGTCCAATAACTATGGTTTATGATACCTATAACTATAGTTAATTGGGTTTATAAAACAACAAACATCACTGGGGGGGCCACTTTGTATCATTTTCTTGGTCCCACTTTTTCAGCGCACTACATGTTTTAGGAGGTTGAAGCCACATACTGGTCTATGTCCTCACATGTCCGTTAGCCAGTGTGACTGATGCAGGGCGGGGGCTCAAAATTGACCTAACACTTGGTTCTGGCCTAAAATGGTCAGTAATCTAAATTGAGAATCTAGTCAAAATATATTCTAGGATTGCCAGTTCATATCATTTCATATCCTCTTGGGTGGATGGGTATACCAGGTATACCTTACTCTATTTTTTTTGCTCCACCTCACCATACTCCAAAACTAATCATGGTTTAGGGTATGATCCTCTTTATACTAGCATCGTAAGATATTGAAATTATATGAAATTATTGTAATATCATAATATTGATAATATCTATATTGTATACAGTTGCCCTGAATACAGTTCTACATGGGATTATACCTCCTCTAACTAAGGTTGTATATCATGACAATCCCATAAAAATAATTCTTGTGCCATCCATTATATCAATGGCCATTTCAGGGACCCAAATTGGAGGTACCTACCATATATAAGGCCTATTTTTCAGGCATATGTAAGTGAATATCACCACAATTCATATGGCCAAACATATGGTACTAACGTACCTCCATGTATTGGATCCTGGGTACTAATCCCACAGATTGGGGGGTTGGGTCATCCCCAAACGCTGAGGACATGTACGCGGATCTCTGCGTGCTGTTGCACGAACACTTCACGGCCAAACCGTTGGATAAGACGTTGACCTTCAAACGTCTGCTACTTTGAGAGAACTTGGAAGGAATTGGGCGACTTGCGGAAAAAAAAGTCTGAAGATCCTTGGGACACTTCAAATATGTTAAAATTCATAGATGGGCCACAGAAAATACATCTTAGGTTTGGGGTAAACATGTATCTAGGATCATGTAGAAACACGGCTGAAGATATTTCTATGATTATGGATGAAGATCAGGCGACATGGGATAATCCTGAAATATTTCCTGACCAGGCATCCTTATCTAATACTGGCAGTACTGGTGTTGTGAGAACTACGATTTACCATTGTTTCCCTACACATTGCACGGTTATATGTTACTTGCATGGAACGTCTATTTTTTTGTTTTGATCCTGTCCGCGAACTGGTCATTTCTGCCCCAATTTAAGTTGAACTTTTGGGGGATGGTCATACTATATTGTCGTGGTTTATACATACCAAGTGGGGTCCCCCAGGTGCTATAAGTTGGTTTAGGACTGCATACTTCTGCCCACGTTTGGGTCTATGGTGGATAAATTTACGGTTGGATGGTTTTCAACTTACAACTTACAACTGGGATGTTTTTAGATTTCAACTTGCGCTTGCATGACCATTGGGATGACATACCCGATTTTTTTGTGTTTAATCATGGTGCAGATTGATGTGTCCCCGAAATTGGGTTCCCCGCAGGTTGAGAAACTCCCAATGGGCAAGCTGGAGTCGAGTCCAGAAATGGGCTGTATATCCCAGAGGCTGTTGAATCGTGGAAAAATGGTAAACTACTAGACTTCCTTTCCAAGTTTTTAGACAAAGCATACCTCATTATGTTGCAGTCACATGAAAACCATAGTGTATACATCTCAATATACATAGTATACACGTTATAAATATTATAGATTCTAGAATTACAGATTCTAGATATATTATATGCTACATACTATTGTCCATGGAATCCCTCATGACTCACCCTGTCGAGGTTGCTGGATGAATGCCAATCCTCCTTCGAGCGTCTCCTTGCGCCGCCTGCCAATCTCGATGAGCTTTCGGCCGAGGAGCGCACTGTCGCGGAAGTGAGCCACCTGGTATCCACGAGCGCTTAACACGCGTTGCGGCGCACCGGTGTTTAAATGATAGCTATTAGTGGTTAGACATGTTTAAAACCATAAGAAAATAAGTGGACATATTTGGAAATATGGGGGAAATCCTCTATGAATGGAGATGATTAATGGAAATTCCCTGAAGAAAAAATGGAGGTTTGTAGCAAAATCGTTTGTAAATGGATGATCATATCAGTTGCTATGCTTGACAGCTACCACTTTGCCCGGCTCGATGTGCCTTTCGTCTGTGATGGAACTTCTTTTCCAATTGGTGAATCACAAACAGAATCCACCCTCGATCCATAAGTTCTGGGTAAATTATAACGACCTCACGTCACGACCTCACTCTGGAATCATGGTTAGTAAGGGACATCATCCCCAAATGGCCTTATTTCAGACTTGTGAAATATTATTTCATGTACCCAGATCCGCTGCTCAGCACTTCCTCGCATCGCTGTCTGGTTGGTGTCTGGTTGAAAAAGATTTTTTGGGATTTCACCATGGTTTTCACCATGAAAAATGGTGATTTCAAACCTCCAAAGTCAAGAATAATCAAAGATATGATCAGGAGTATACAACCAACAGTGTATGATGTAAACAATGACCATTTTGGTGTTTTACGTTTGCAAACATGATCAACAGTAGGGATTCAACTAAAAAAATGTGATGTAATTGGGATAGCAGCCAAGATACAATATTTGGATATATTTGGGTCAATGGTGGACTCTGTTAAGATCTGTTTATTTTGGGGTTCATCAGTGGAATTTCCCAACTTCCCAAACAAGACCCGCCTTGAGGCTACAAGACGCACATGTTGGGCAACATCAAGTTGGTGGGTGGCCTGTTGGCCCGAGGGATGTTGGCTGCCAAGGTGTGATCCGCTCAGAAGCGTTGTGAACACCCAGCTGTTTCAAAAAGTAACTCAGAATTTGGAATGATTGCATTGAATGTGTGAAGTTGAACAAACACACCACGCATAATATATATATAGCGTTTATTATATTATATTGTATTACATTGTGTTACATTATGCTTTATTATGTTATATTATATATTGTATTATATATATATATATCATATATATATATATTATATTATAACATATACATTTTATAGATATTATATGATATAAATATATATATATATAATTCCATACAATATATAAAATATAACATAATATATGTATATATATATATATACACATATTTGAGAAATGGTGCCTGTGTGAACACTCAAGGCTCTGTTTCGAAATCTTTCTGTGCGTTGGAATTCCCCAGCACTATGGTTCACAAAGAAATGTTTCGCACGGCACTCTTTTGCTACCTTTGGGTAGCAGGGATCACCATCTGTCAGCAAGCAAGAATATTTTCCATTTGGGTTTTTCCCCACAAGTGAAAATCAAGTAGCATCGCATGAAGTGCAAGTGAAGATCATGAAAGTGCAAGTGAAGATCATGAAAGTGCAAGTGAAAATCAAGTAGCGTAGCATGAAGTGCAAGTGAAGATCATGAAAGTGCAAGTGAAAATCAAGTAGCGTAGCATGAAGTGCAAGTGAAGATCATATAGCGTAGCGATAGACACGTTTGCTATTATCCCCACCCCACCCCAACTTTCTGAAATGAGCACGACTACACGTGCGGTTTTTTTTTAACCCGGTGGCATAAACTACAACATAATGTAATATAACATAATATAATATGATATGATATAATATGTATATATATATATATTATGCCTTCATATGTATTTATACATATATATATATAATATGTTGGATTCTGATTTGCTGGTATTTGCGGTGATCCTTGCTACAATATTACAAAAAAAATGTCATGTTACATTCTGTAAGAGGCCCGTTTTCGCCGCACAGGTGGGCATTGCCATTTTGGAGGAGCTTTTGTCGAATCCGACACCTGAGGTGTCGAAGGGAAAATCTCGGGAAGCGGCGAAGCAGTAAGCGCGGATCGGGATTGGGAATCTCTGGGAACTAAAACCATATACATGAACAGAAAAAATTGCCCAGAGAACTTAGTATATGTAATTCCATTGAATATTCATATATATATATATTTATTTATTATTTTTTTTTTTGTTGGTTAAATATCTGGCGACATATTGTAGATGGATTATGGATCATTAAATATCCATTATACGTATTGTTTATCCCATTCAAATCCCTGAATCTATAAATCATCAATAACCCAACTGCACCCCAAGTATGATTTTTATCTATTATTCATGATTCATCCCCAGATTCCATTTTATATCCCATTATACCCCCATTGTATCGTATTAAATGCCATTTATATAGTCACCCTTTTTGGGGGATATCCCCAATAATTTTTAAACTTATCCCAATATCTATTAGGTTGCAAGTTTCTAATTACAAAGAAAATCATTATGAAATCCCATGTTCTTTGCATTTAACTAAATACAAATTACTATTATCATTAAAGAGCCCTGGGATACTCCTCAAAGGGCTACTCCTAAAAGTTGCTATCCTTGCAAAAAAAACTGAAAAATAAATTCTCAAAAAATCAAAAACATATCAAAAAACAATTGAAAAAAACAATCCACCCATTTCAAAACGAATTCCAAAAAATAAAAAACGCAAAAACAAACAGTATTCGAAGGAAGTTTAGAAGTCAAGCTTCCGACAATATGGACAGATGAAAAGCAGAGATGGGAAGAGTCAGAGAAGAGAAGAGCAGAAGAGAGAGATCAGATAAAAGAGAGAGTGAGAAAAAGGAAGATGCAGGCGCGCGAAACGGTAGCAAAGTCGCGAAACACTCTGTTTTCCCAATGATTTGTGGCTCCAGAGGGTCGAAAAGAAGGCTCGCTAAAGCGGCAGGTGCGGAGCCATGTGGCCAGATGAGAGATGAAAATTGCACGCCGTTGTGGCGGGAAGCACATTTGGAAGTCCAAATGTACAAAACACACCATGTTCGGACCACTTTTGGAAGTTGAGATGTCCAAAAAGTGTACACCGTAGTGGCGCGAAGCACATTTCCAAGTCAAAATTTACAAAACACTCCAGCTCCGGACCACTTTTGGAAGTTGATATGTTGAAAAAGCGCACGCTGTTGTGGCAAGAAGCACATTTCGAAGTCAACATGTTAAAAACACCACATGCTCCGACCACTTTTCAATTTTCAGATGTGGTTTTGCGTGGCAGGCGCAAGGGATTCTACGCCTTGCCAAAAGTGAGTAAAACATGAGGGTTTCGTAGCAGTGCCAAAAACGATGGCAGGCGTGGGACATTTGAAGAGGATCTGGAAAGATGCATTTCGCGTGGTAGGCGCAGTATAAGAGGCATGTTCATCAGAGATGTTAGGAGGTCAGGGCGCTGATTTCCTGAGAGGGGTTGCATTTTGGAGCATCAGATCTTCAGGTTTGCAAAGATAATTTTGCGTGACAGGTGCAGCACTTCGTATGACCTGGCATCACTTTGGCGTGGCAGGGGCAGCACTTTACACAGATGGAGTGGAAAAAACGCGAAACGTATTGGCTCGAGGCCGTCAGCTCTGCACTCAACTTTCCATTTTTGAAGGAAGTCTCGCAGAATTGCTTAGTTTTTGATGTTGTCAACTTCGAAAATTGAAGGATTTCTCGCAGAATTGCTTCGTTTTTGATGTTGCCAACTTCAAAAATTGAGGAAGTCTCGCGGAATTGGTTTGTTTTTGACGTTATCAAGTTCAAAAGTTAGGGAAGTCTTGCAGAATAGCTTCGTTTTCAAGCTTGCAGATAGACAGATAGATAGATAGACACCTACAAATACCAGTACCACTACACTACACTAGTATTACAACTACAAATGCAAATAAACTACGCTACATTACACTACACTAATTACACTACGCTACACTAATTGCATCTAAGTACACTACACTACACTATACCGCACTACAGCTCACAACAGTGCAGTACACTACAATACACTACACTAATTACACCACACCACAACTACAACTACAACTGCAACTACACTACACTTATTTCACATTACAACTACAACTCCACTACACCACACTACCACTACAACTACAACTGCACTACACCACACTACATCAAGCAGTTGTGTGTGAGGTGACCATTGCAACCATTGCAACCACTCCAAAACACAACTTCAACCACCTTTCGGTCCATCAGTGGATTCGCTCTGCCATCCGTGGTTCATAACAACCAACCTCTCCTATAGGTTTCCTATGTTTGAAACTTCCGCCACCGCCTTGTGCGGTACTACTGGCATTACTTCCTATATACTTCCTATTATTGTGGATTAGCCATTAGGATAGTAGCAGTCCATGATTTATCATTATCAGCCATTATGAATCAAAGGATAATATATACAATCCCATTATGACAATAATTTTGAATTCCCAATATTTACCCTCTGGTTTTTTATGGTAAGTATGTCGACAGCTATGCAGCGGCGGTGCTATACGAGATGGTGGAGGGAGATCTCATGGTTCCCGATGAGTGGCGAACCCCCAGGCCGAGCCCCAACCTCAAAAGGGTGGAGACTTGGAATCGCCAGAATTCCTTCTTGCGGCGGCTCTTCGAGATGTTGCACGACAAGCCGGCGGAGATGAACAGCAACTGGTTTGGGTGGAAAGCCTTGAAGAAGGCCGTCGACTTCATGCTGGTGGTGGACTACGCAGCTGGCGCCATCAAAGACGACACCGCCGTGCTTTGCTATGGATAGTGCCTCCCATATTAGAGTGGATAGATTCTGTGTCTCCCATATTATAATGTGGTTCCCATCTATTTCTCCATATGATTATCCCATATTTCAATTTCCAATAGCTAGATTATCTCAATATCCAATGGATTGATAAATTCTCATAGCTATGACATCATAGAATATGTCATCTCAATAATCCTATTATGAAATCCCAATATCCAAAAATCAATGGTATTTGTTTGTAATAGTCATAACTTGGGAATTTCTAGTTAGATTTTCTAATTATGGCAACTATTTGTTGACCCATTATAGTTAGATTACCTATTAGTTTACCCATTTTTATCGAAACATTATTATATTTATCCAACCCAATAGTGGGCATCATCTAATAGATAAAACAAATAACACATGATAATTCAATAATAATATATAGTGTAATCCCATTATAAGTCATGATGAAGTCATAAATCCATTATCCAGATGGATATGTATGTATATATATAATAGATAATCCATTGATAAATCACTAGGATAATGGATTAGATGCTCTATGATAATATATCTATGTATAATCCATTAATAAATGGATAATATCCAATGGATAGTTGTTCCTTTGATACCCTCTGGTAAACATACAAAAAACTATGGAAAATCACAATTTTTAATGGGAAAATCCACTATTTCTATTAATGGTCTTTTTCAATAGCAAACTGTTAGTGAAAATCACCGTTTTAATAGGCAAAATCACCATTGTTCATGGGTAAATTCATTATAAATGGTGATTTTCCATGGTAATTTTGACATAACCAGAGGGCATATCCATCAATATCCCAGTATTATCCCATCATTATCCCATGATCACCCCGAAAAAAAAAACACACATATGAAAAACCATAGTAAACCCATAGTAAACCCATAGTAAACCCATAGTAAACCCATAGTAAACCCATAGTAAACCCATAGTAAACCCATAGTAAACCCATAGTAAACCCATTAAACCTCCTATTACCAGAGGGTAAATCACTAGGCCCAATGGCCCAATGGCCCAATGGCCCAATGGCCCAATGGCACAGGCCTTGGAATCCGTAGCCGCGCTGCTCACCGCCATGGGCTCCAGTGCGGATCGCCCCGACTGGCCGCAGAAGAAAGCCTTGTGCCTTGGAAAACGTGTGGAAAACATGGGGAAAACATGGGGAAAACTTTGGAAAACTGGAAAAAGTTGGGAGACAATGTGGGAAAAACATATGGGAAAAATTGGGAAAATTACAGGGCAGATCTGAGAAACCTATGGGAAAGTTTGTGGGAAATTATGGAAACATATATGGGAACGATTTGTGGGATTATATTTGGGAAAAGACCGGGGAAAACTCAAAAAACATAAGGGACAATTTGGGAAAACTGCGGGAAAATGTTGGGCAAAAATAAGAAAACATGTGGAAACAATATGGGAAACTGCGGGAAATGTTGGAAGTTCGAGGAAGACACTGTGTATGAAATATTCGAAGAAAAAACAACGTATTTTTCCGGAAAAAACATACATATTTAAAACACTTTGAATCTGTGTTTGCGTTTGGAAAATTGAGGAAACCTGAATAAATATGGGAACATATGGGAAAACTTGTGGAACAATAGATGGAACAAAGACTTCTCCCTGGAGGATCACAACATTTTGGAATTGGTGCACCTTGAAGATTGTGGGGCACATATGCACAACATCATATATAGAAAACTGTGATATCCCCATGGTTGACCTAACACAGATTTCAACCATTGGGATTTCAATGCAACCAGTTTGGGTATTTACGTGTATATGTATGTATGTATATATATATATCGACACAACCCAAGTTACGGTGGCAATCATGGTAGGCTGAATCAGGAAAACATGTATATATATATAACATTGAACACATATCATTTTAGTGTGTACAACAAAATAGGCTAAGTTGAACTAAAGAAAAATACATGGAACATTGGATTGTTTGTTCAACCGAAATGGTGCTATAGCATTGTTCAATGAATGGACATATCAACAACACCAAAAAAAGGAAATAGGGATTGACTCAAAAAAAAACATGGTGATATCTGCTGGTTCTATCAACAATCATTTGGATAGCAAAAAAAAGTTAAATAGCACCTATTAGAAAAAAATGTTTTTTTACCAGCACATATGGACTGTGACTTCACCAAAAATATCTACAAGGCGGTTCCCCGTTAACGAAAACGGTAAGTTGGCGCAAAGTTCACTTGGTGAATATTCTATGGTTTATGGTAGATTTACCCTCTAGTTTTTTAACATAGCCATGGAAAATGGTCCATTTATAAATGTTTTTTGATGATATAGCTATTAAAAATGGGTGGATTCTCCCGTTCGCTACGTTGAATAACCAGAGGGTATTTTTGAGTATTCATGAGGATTTTTGTTAGCCAACGTGCATGGCCATGGATCCATGGATCAATACCTATAGATACCATGTTGGCATGTTGGCGAGGGATGACCATGATGACCAATCCCAGCGATTTTGATGTGAACTATCCAGGGCCCCATGTTGGTTTTGACCCATCCCCATATACCATCTGGTTATGACTAACAGATAGCGAACTGGAAAGATCCACCCATGCTTTATAGCTAGGTAAACCATCTATTTCGATTAGGGCCATCTATACCATGGCGAACTGTGAATGTCATAGCCAGAGGGTAACTATACAGGGCCCTACGTTGTAGTTTTTGTACTTTCCAGTGGCTTGATTGATGAGAACACCAAAACTACCGTGGAACAGCCAACATGAAGCGATCAACAAAAAATGGCAGGAAAAAACCACCCAAATCAAGATTTCTGTTGCAGTCATCCATATGGTTTGGTTTTTCATTTTTTGTAAAGGAACCCCATGGTGTTTTCATTGGAAAAACCATGGAACATCCATGGTGTTTCCTGTTGATCTGGCCCATACATCCAATTTGCTGGTCAAACTGTGATTTATATGTTTGCTGAATTTTCGATATAGCTAATTCATAATATCAATGGGAGATCTCCAGGATCCAATACATGGAGGTACGTAAACGTACCATATGTTTGGCCATATGAATTGTGGGGATATTCACTGAAATTTAGGCCTGAAAAATAGGCCAAACATATATGGTAGGTACCTCCAATTTTAGGATCCTGGAGTTGCCATTCACAATACGTTGTAGATCTATGATTGTTCAATATTATGTATATAAATACGATCAGATTTATATGCAAATTAGAATTGCGCTACTAATATGTATCCCATCATGGATCCCGAAATACCTGTGTTTCATATCCCATCGTAGCTTTGTTTTTTAAGTTCCCCGGTTTTATTTTCTATGAAACATAGTTTAGTTCATTACTTTCCCATATGGTTTCATATGTGTTATTTAGTTTCCCATAGGGTGTTGGTTGAAACACCCACGGCCCATCTCTGGTTTGCCGTGAGGAATTTGATCTTTGATCAACTGGCTGCGATCGTGAAGAGCAAAAGCTGCCAGACCCGCGAGCGCTGCTTGCTGAAGGCGGCCCCTGATGGTGGTGGTGGTTGTAGATTTTCATGACGCATGATGTAGATCCCTGGAAAAATGCTATGGGCGATACTCATCATTGTATTGTTAATTCGATGTTCTATTCTTATTCTTAATCCCTTATATTTTCATTCAATGCCAGACTTTGTTTTTGTAGCCCCATGAAATACCCCCATATTCGTTAAGGTCTTCCCGGGCCAGGATTTGCTTGACTTGCGTCACAACGGATGGGTGGACAAGCGCCCGAAGAAGTTGGAGAGAGCCATGACACTCGCTCAGGCTCGACCTGCAAATTATGTGGCTGATCTTGGCTGGAAATATCTCGAAACTTGGATAAAAAAGGAATTGCATTCCTATAGTTCTGTCTCTTGCTATGACTTTACCCTCTGGTAAACTAACATAACTATGGAAAAATCACCATGCTATTAATGGGTAAATCCACTATTCTATGGTCATTTTCAATAGCTATGTAACAAATTACCAGAGGGTATATGTTTTCATGATTTGTTTTGAGATGAACACCATACGTTCCACTCGCAATTGGATATGAATAATGAACTATGGACCTATTTTTTTTGCATCAACCAGCTTTATTACTATGGAGTTGACATTGCTACTTAGTCCCTTCCCCCTTCCATTAAATGATAATCTCCAGACGTAACTTTGGTTTAGTATTGGATACGGGGCGTATTCAATATTAAGGGGGATGGGATTAATGGTGTGCTAACAAATTAACAAGCAGGATCATAATGTTCACATAGCAGATCATACAGGAGAACATCATCTAGATAGATAAATGGAAACAATAACCACGCAACATCACGCAATAAAGGTGTTTTGTGTGTGAACATCAGCATTATGTGGCTCACCCATAAGATGAACCTGCTGGTTACTCAGCTTTGTAATGGTTTAGCTTTGTTATCAGAGAATCATATTATATATATAATATAATATAATATAATACATTGTAATATAACATAATATAATACAATACAATATAATATAATATAATTTAATATAATATAATATAATATAATAAATCATGTAATAAATCATGTAATATAATATATAATATTTAATATAATATATAATATATAATATATAATATATAATATAATATAATATAGTATAATATAATATAATATAATATAACATAACATAATATAACATAATATAATATAATATAATATAAATAATGTAATATAATATAATATAATTTAATAAATCATATAATATATTATATAATATTTAATATAATATATAATATATAATATAATATAAGTTAATTTAATATAATATAATATAAGATAATATAATTTAATATATTATAATATAATATTGATAATATATATATATATATACAATGTTGGGCCCCATGGATAGCTAAGTTGGTGCACATAACTTCAAACATTATGATTTATGATACCTATAACCGTAGTATTCACGGGTTTATAAACCAACAAACATCACTGGGGGGCCCAACATTGTATATACATGGATATCACGGGACATGTTCCAGCGCTCCCTTTGGTGGATATTCCAGACTGGTGTCAGAGCAAGAATATGGCAAGAATGCATGACAAAACACGGGAAAACTTCGTCAGTCGCAGGATCATGGGATATCATGGGCTGCTTTTTAGCCATGGAAGGTTTCTCAAATCTGACCAAAGACTGCGACTGGTTGGTGGTTTGGAACATGTTTTATTTTTCCATATATTGGGAATGTCATCATCCCAACTGACAAACTCCATCATTTTTCAGAGGGGTAGGTTGAAACCACCAACCAGTTGAATGGCCATTTATAGTGAGTTTTCCCATTAAGAATGGTGATTTTCCCATGGTGATTTTCCCATTAAAAATGGTTGAAGGTTGAAAGATTATCTCAACTTAGTCCTGGGATTTCCCCCATTAAAGAGACCACGTGTTCCCATCGTTTTCCGTGGAAACCTTGGCACCACGGCAGGTGGCGGAAGGTCCCGGACGCAGCGGTCCGGCGACACCCAAGATGGTGCGCAGAGTGACCACTTTCGATCAGGCGCGCCCCACTGGGGATCTCCCCAGTGGGATCCCTAAACCCGGTTGGGATCCCGACCAAAAATGCTACGGAAGCGGCTAGCTCAAAAAAAATGCGCAAGATATTGATGGACAAAAATCACATTCTATTGGATCATGTTTTTTAAAGCATCTATTGTGTTCATAACCCGCCCGCTGCCTCGAACTAAGACGTCGCCTTGACAAAGTTCCGACATGTAATCAAAGGGTTGAGGCGAGGTAGCAAAGTATTTAAAGTATTTTGGTATACTTCAAAGGCAATTTAGAAGGCCAAGTATATTACACCCCAAATTTCCACAGAAAAAAAAAAGTGACATTATTAAGATGGCTTTTGCAATAAGACATTGATAAAGAAAACAATGCATTCGGATCTTTGTGGGTCTTAAGATTTAGATTCAGTATCGGGGAATGGTTTACATTTTAAAAAATCAAGGGCTCAAATTGAGTTAATAAGTTTATCTTCAAAGAGAGACCTGTCAAAATACAAGATCAAGAAAACCAAAAACACATATAACAATGAACAATGAAACCATGCAAAATATATCCCAGCAGGTTGGATGACTTTATAGTGGAGGGGCGGAGGGGTTTGTTAATATGTCCCGGGATTTTGACTTACTTTGTTGTGATGTGGATGATTCACCTGATGCATACATCAATTGGAACTTCAAATGATGCTCCCAGTAGCTCATGGTGGTACTCCCTTACTACGATTTAGCTAATGACCAACAATATCTGGTTGGTGCTTTGGAACATTTTTTATTTTCCATAATATATGGGATAATCCTTCCCATTGAGAAAAAAGAACAAGATGGTTAAAACCACCAACCAGATATGAATGTGGGGCTACATCCAAAATCGTTTGCCGCCAAAAAACCTGGATAAGATGTTCGACCAAGACTTGGCCATCCCAAATTTAAGCAAGACAAGTTGGTGTTACCCTCCAGTACTCAAACATGACAATGGAAGAAAAAAATAGAAAAAACACATCTATAACTAGGGGAGTGTGAATCGATATCTTTGCTTTTCAGAGGTATCTCATGTTTGTGTCTCCCTAAATGACTAGCCAAGCTTCGCTCAGCTTACTGGTGCTTTGGAATTCCAGGATCCCGTTTGAACCTGACACCACCGCTGCAGTATGAAACGCTGCAGTAGGTAACCCACAAACATAAAGATGGGAGATTTTGGCCCCAAATGGTCCTCATGATTTTCAGGGGTTGGTTGGCAAATTGGTTGGCAAATGATATCATTAGATCCGCATTTTTCATCATTGTTCGTGCTACTTTCAATGAAGAAATCCATACAAATCCGCCATCATTCATACAGATCCGCAATCCGCACTTGTCTAGCCATCAAAATTCACAACAAATCAATAGTGTTTTTTTCTGATGAAGTTCATTTTCAACATCATTTCACAACCTTCTCATGCAGCAATGATATTTTTTAGCCGAATCCCAGCTAGTCCAATTTCTCATAGCTAGCCCCTTGGGTTCCTTGGGTTCCAGGCTCCATAGATCCCATAGTTTTTTTCTCCATGGTGAATCCATGGGGAAAATTCACTTAAAAAAAAACAAGTTTCATATTCCGAAAAAAGAAAGAAGTTCCATATTCTTCCTGGCTAGGATATCTTGATATATCAAGATATATCAAGATATATATATCAAGAGTCACCTCCATGAATTTTCTCATCCCTTAGATATGGCGCCCATATCTTGTCGCCAGGAGAAGTTCCGCCAGGCGCTGCGTTCGCTGCTGAAGCAGCTGGACAGCGAGGATTTGGCGGGTGCCATGGAGCGCCTGAGAGCCATCGGGACGCCACCGGTACGGGGAACCCAGGTTGGGATGCCATGGGGAGGAGCTGTGAGGAGCCGGTCTGGTTGGGGAAATGCGAACTAACTCGATGTAGGTCGATGTCACTGGATTACAACATATAATATATATATATATATATGTCTGGTTGGTGGTTTCAAACCATGGAATTTTATGACTTCCATTATATATGAGATAATCCTTCCCATTGAGAAAAAAAACAAGATGGTTAAAACCACCAACCAGATGTGTATGTAATTGTACATATCATTTTTTTATTTATACAATATACATGTGAATATTTGCTTCCCTCCCGCAGATCTTCCACCTGGTTTGGTTCCATTTCGTTGGTGATCCCCCATCCCACCTTAGAAATTGGTGACGGCCTTGTTTGGTCAGGGGGGATACCGGGATGACATTTGGTGGTGTTTTTTTAATTTCCAGAATGGAACACATCATGGACCACTATTTTTTGTCAGTCATATCAAGTTTTATCCCCAGATGTTTGATGGTTGAAACATGTTAAAACCCAATAAATGATGGCTATAATTGTTAAATCACCACAAACTGCCCTACAATGTGGGGTCCCCAAACGATAGCTAAGTTGGGTTATAACTTCAATAACTATGGTTTATGATACCTATAACTATAGTAATCATGGGGTTTATAAACCAACAAACATAACTGTGGGGCCCCACATTGTACAGTAAGTTCATCTAAGTAAACAAAAATCTGACATGCTGAGTTTATAGCCATGGAGTCCATAGATTCCTATCACCTCTAGAACTGGATTTCAGGCAAGGTGGTGCCCACCAGTTATAACTTAGTTGAGAAGCTTCATGAGGATCCATTGACTAAGAAAACGTAGCTGTATCATGACCCATGACGGATCCATGGTGCTGGTATATATGCTAACATTTGGGGTATATTGATGGCAAATGTTACCATATATAGCATACATGGATCCTATTCTATGGGTGATGTATCTACCATAAATTTGTTTATGTGTTTCTTTGTGAAACAAACCACCTTTGCGAACGTTCACCGGAGCACCATCGTATGTCTACTGTAACGGATTTGAATCGCAATGCGCTTGTTACTTGTAGATCCCAGGAATCGGAATCCGTGGTTAAGAACCATAGCTATGGTCAATACTCATGGTTAATAGCCATTAAAAACGGGGCTAGTCATCCAATGGTGATTTAATGGGATTTATAATAACCATTATTTTTTGGATCCTTATTATGGATGGGATGACCATCAACCATATAGTGAGTATTGACCATGGCTCATATAAATATATACACATATAATAATAAATTTTGATATGTAGGGGTTCGGATCCCTATCTATAGCCATTTGTTGGGGGGTTATATCCGGCGTATAGCCCAGTTTTAGATGAATCCATATCAATCCATTCCCCACTCGTACTAGGACCATTCTTAGATGGTGTGTTTAATATCATATAATTATTCGGGTTTAGGGGTTACTATAGTTCCTAAACCATCCCATTAACATCCATTAACTAAGCATCACTGGGGGTGATACCCTCTGGTAATTTAACATAGCTATTGAAAATGACCATTTATAGTGAGTTTTCCCATTAAAAATTGTGATTTTCCATAGTTATGTTAGTTTACCAGAGGGTAATAAACATCATCCCACATTGAATTTTATAAATTTATAAACCATCAGGGGGGTGGAACTTTTTTCCATAACGGGGGATGGAATCCCACTGAAAAAATCCAGCAGAACGTTGGGATGATAATGTCCCCTTAAATCCCATGGAAAACATCATTAAATCCAATTCAACAATCCCATGAGATTGAAACTTACCCTCCAGTAAACAAACAAAGAGTTTGCGAACTTGAAGCCATGGCCCAGTCGAAATCCTTGATTTACCCAGCTAGACAGTGGATCTTTCCATATAAATCACGATTTTCCCATGGTTTTCCTGTGGTTTTCCCATGGTTTTCCCATCAAAAATGGTGGATCTTTCCATCGTGCCAGGTCCGCCATGTCAGGTCCAACAGGTCCAGGTCGCACCTCCCAGGCCTCCAAACAAGCCATGGAACTGGCGGAGTTCCTGAGCCAAGTGGTCCAGGCGCCGGGAGATGGCGAGAAGTGACATGCGAAAGGCTCAAAAGGATGGTAAAATATGGGTAAACATACAAAAAGCTATGGAACATCACATTGTTTAATGGAAAAATCACCTATACATGGGCCATTTTCAATAGCAATGTTAAATTACCAAAGGGTGAAATCTGGGTAAAACCATGATTTGGGGGGTTTCCAAAGTCATGGGGGTACCCCAATAGCTGGATGGTTAATAATGGACAATCTCAATCTAAAATGGATAATTAAGACATGATATGGAAAAAACAAACATATTACTGGTTGGTGGTTTCAAACATTTTTTATTTTCCATAATATATGGAATAATCCTTCCCATTGACTAATATTTTTCAGAGGGGTTGAAACCACCAACCAGATTAAGTTTCGATATATGTTATGACCCACTGAAGAGCCCAGCTGGTAAAATATGGTGAAACATGTCATGTGCAATGACCTTTTTTCTGATGGAGAGCTAACATATTTCACATGCTGATCCATGTCAGATTCATGTTATTTGAAAATGGAATATGTCTGGGGATCGGAGCCTCTTACACGATATATATATATATACATATAATATATTTATAATATACATATATATAAGGGGTATTCTGCATTCATTTACCACCTATTATTTTATGGTGTTCACCAGGCTACCAGACCATGTCATGATCAGCTCAATCAGCTCGATCAGTGGTACTGCCAATGGTACTGCGACAGGAGGCCGCTTCAAAGCGTGACGCTGGCTTCAAAGCTTTCTTGAAGGTTGCAGGCTGGGCCCAGTTCTTTGTTTGACACAAGAAACGGTCGCATGGTTGAGACTCGCTTTTGTCGTCTGTATTGACCATGGGATCTGATGATGAGCATTGCACATTTTATATATTTTGTTGGGGAAGCATAGCCAACAACATGATTTCAAGAATCCGGATTGGTGAGTTATTCAATGGCTGAAGATTTGACCAGTAGGGCCCGCTAGGCTTTTCACATTTTTTCACCATCAAAGATGTTTTTGGATATCTAGCATCTTGGATATGATTTTTATCTGATATCCAGGATGCTTGGTTGATTCTCACATGGTGTCTTTCTGAACTACCCTCTGGTAATTTAACATAGCTATTGAAAATGGCCATTTATAGTGGATTTTCCCATTAAAAATGGTGATTTTCCATAGTTATGTTAGTTTACCAGAGGGTACCTCTTCGGGGATATGAACAACTGACTCTACGAACCGGGGGGAACCGGGGAACAACCGGTTTCCGGTGGGCCTGCGAAATCCGATGAGATAAAATCCAGCGGTGAACTGAAACGGTTACAATGTGGGGCCCCCGAGTTATGTTTGTTAGTTGGTCTATGAAGCCCATGAATACTATAGTTGTTTTGGTATCATAAACCATAGTGAAATTGGTTAGTTATGTGCACCAACTGAACGCGATTTCGTTTAAGTTTAGGGACCCCACATTGTACAATTTCTGACAGATTTTCCGTCCCATCCTCTTGGGGTGTGTTCTGCGACAGGTGAGTGGCATTCGGAGGCGTTGGCTCAGGGCGTCCTTCGGCACAAAAATGGGTCGGTCTTGAGCCAAGCTCTATGTCTGGGTGAATAAGGTAGGTTCATTCAGGGAAAATAACATATGATCTCTGGCTTTCACTGGAATACAAAAAAATCATACAATAGACAATAGAACAGATTCTGATCTATCACCATGTTAGGATGATGTGTGGCTGCCAATGTGTTTCTTGATTTTATTAGGGCTGGAATGTGATGTGTGCTGGATGTGTTTTTCGCATAGGCCGCGGGATGGTCCTCAACCAAGCAAAATTAATATCAATGCATATCGGTGCACTTATAAAAGTGTGTAAAGGGGAGAATCTATAGAAATACTCAGTGTTTTTTTGTTGGTTCCCCTTCAAACAATATAGTTGTTTGAAACTGCAAATTCCCCGTCGAAGCAATGCTGGGATATTTGGATTGTTGTTTTTGTGGGACCGATGCGTTGGGGTGTGTGGTGTGTCATCCAGTATTCGTATCTCTGATGTGCAAACATCCTAGGAACGAATAGAATAGATTCAGAATAGATAGAACAGATTCAGAATATGATAGAATAGGTGTTGAACTCTGATGCTGTTTGGGTATATGAGTTATCTCACAACCACTCGAATGACCACAATTACAGTGCAAACGGCCTGTCTAGGGCAGGCAAGAAAACAAGACTTACCACCAAATAAGGTGCAAAATAAATGGTACTGAAAACATGTTACTGGTTGGTGGTTTCAAACATGTTTTTTATTTTCCATTTCATAAAAAAGGATGTCATCGTTACCATTGACTTTAACTCCATCATTTTTCAAGATGGGCACATTGCACCACCAAGCAGGTTACCTTGATGGCTGGCAGTTTCAAACACGCCATGTCTCAAAATAGGGGCAAGCTCCCAATGAACTGCTCCAAATATCTCCAAATCATTGGGAAACTCCACATTTCGGCTGGGTTGAGTCCCAGTTGACGAAGGTATCACGACATTGGATGGCATGGATGGCTGGGTTGAATCCAGTGTCGTGATATATGATACCTTGTAAGGCCAATTTTTTTGGGGTGTGGAGTTTGAGCTACACCATACAAGGTGCTGCCCCCCAAGTTATGTTTGTTTGTAACCTCCACGAACTATAGGTATATCTATCATAAACCAAAGATATTGGAGTTGTAAAGCAACTTAGCAAACTAGTGAAAACCACCTTGTAAGCAGGAAATCGTTGTTGTGCATTGCCGCTCTCAGAGGATTCTGCTAGGGACAACTAATGGATCATGCCTGAGTGAACTGTATTTTTCTCTCAACTTGGATTTTCAAAGTATTGAAAGATATTGAATCAAACTATATGGTTGGTAAATACTTCAATGAAAAGAAACTAAAGATAAGAATCCCCAGAATTATGGAAGAACATTTGCTTATATCATATAAAATAGTTTATCCCCAAAGACCAAAATAGGGTAGTTCACATGGAACCAGTCGACAACCTATTCTTACCAACTGTTCCTTTTTGTTTATTAGATCAATTTCCCCAGATTTCGGAAAAAAAAAGAACCGCGTTCAATCCACGACTAGAGAAAAGAAACAAGTCAACAACGGAAACAAATATTTGAAACATGTTGAACCAAAGTTGTTTGACACATTTTCTATGTTCAACACATTTGGAGGTTTCCTAAAATGGGACCCCTAAATCATCAATTTTCGATTGGGATTCTCCCAAAAAACCAACCAGCTACCCTCTGGTAATTGAACAGTTTGCTATTGAAGCCATGGCCCAGTCGAAATAGTTGAGTTTTCCCAGTTTCAAAATGGTGGATCTTTCGCAAAATCACCATTTTCCAAGGGTTTTCCCAGGGGTTTTCCCAGGGTTTTCCCATGGTTTTCCCATGGGTACCCCCCCCCCGGTAAGGTGAAGATCTTCGTGACCGAGATGGCTGCGGATCTGGCCCTGGACGTGCCCAATCTCTCCCAGATCCTGGAGGTCGACAAAAAAAAACCCAAATCATGGGGATTTCATAGGATTTAATGGGATTTAATATGGATTTGAATGGTGATTTAATGGGATTTCATGGGATTGGATTGGAATTTCATGGGATTTAATGGGATTGGATTGGATTTTAATGGTGATTTCATGGGATTTAATGGGAATTCAATTGGATTTAATGGGATTTAATGGGCTTGAATCGGATTTCAATGGGGATCTAAGATTTAATGGGATTTAGCCAAAAAATAATGATGAAACATGATGGTGATTGAAGGTTTAAGCAAGAAAAATAGAGATTGATAGTTGAATTATGTTAGCTAAGTTGCTGGAGGTGAATTGATGAACCATAGGGTTGATTAAGAGGATATCACGAACTAGCAGTTGTCGAGGGGTGAAACAAAACCAACAAACATAACTGGAGGGGCCCTTTTTTTTGCAGGACAAAAAGAATCAAAAGCTTGGGATTCCGAAGTAGCAAGCATGAGAGTCTAAACCTTCCAAAACATGTTGTGGCACAACAAAAGTGTGCCGTGAATTGGATCTCCCCTTCGATGTCAGGGGCATGGAGTCATGGTCATCTATTTTTATATTATGTTCACTTATTGGGTTTTTTTGAACTGATTTAGTGATCTGAAAGAATTCATATTATGTTATCTATTCCCATTTTCATATTAGGGATAACAATGTGAAACATGTTTTTTAGAAATTAGTTTTGTAACTGATTTTCATCTAATAGGGATTGGAACTGATTTTCATATTATGTTCACTAATAGGGATTCACTAATTGTTCACTAATATTGTGTTTTAGGATTCATCACAAATTGTGGTACAAATAGGGATTGGTAACAAACTATGTAGCAAACTATGTGGTACAATTATGTTCACTAATTGTTCACTAATATTGTGTTTTAGGGATTCACTAGTAGGGATTCACCAATTGTTCACTAATACCAATGTTCACTAATTGTTCACTAATAGGGATTCACTAATAGGGATTCACCAATTGTTCACTAATACCAATGTTCACTTTTTTTTTTTGCACTAATAGGGATTCACTAATAGCTGGTTGGTGGTTTGGAACATTTTTTATATTCTACAGTATAATATATGGGATGCCATCCTTCCCATTGAGGAACTCATATTTTTTAAGATGGTTTTTGCACCACCAACCAGATAGGAATTCACCAATGTTTTAGGATTCCCATTGTACCACATTGTTTTTTTGCATCTTACCATGGCACTTTTTCGAAAAAATGCAAGCAGGACACCCCTTGGTGGGATGGTCATATATGGTCATATCACGTGGCGTCATCACGTGGCTTCCCAAGAGATTTAGACCCTGGCTTTTCAACAGCGTTTTTTTAGTTTATCTTAGTTGAAAAGGATAGTAAATCTGTTGTTATTTTTACCTGAATAATTTTCAAAGGATAGTTTCTTAGTGTGACAAAAAAAGTTGAAAAGGATAGTAAATCATGGTAATTATTTATACTTTTACCTGAAACGGTAATGGCTAAGAGGAAGGTACGATGGCAAAGGCGCTAGCTTTGTATCCATATTCCCTTTGATTGATCCAATTGATACAATTTACCCTGGTGCAGGGTGGTTCCCCATAGTTAGCTAAGTTGGTTTAGAAGTACAATAACTATGGTTTTTGTTGGTGATATATCGAAGTAGTTAATGGGATTATAAGCCATTTATAACTGTGGTGAGAACCAGCACCTGGTGGCAATGTTTCAATTCCATGGTGACTTCATCATTTTCCATAGCTACTCCATCTTCAAATGGGCGATAAATTCCATGGATACCACCGATGTCGCAGGAATTCTACAAGATCCTGGTTGCTGCTGGCATCTCGAAGCTTAGAACCGTCCTGGTTCTTGGGGGTTTTGTTGTGGATTTGGAATACTACAACGGTGAGGCCCCCGTTCGATAGCTAAGTTGGTGCACATAACTCCAATAACTATGGTTTATGGTACTTATAACTATAGTTACTGGGGCGAATCTAAACCAACTTATAACTGGGGGGCCCCACATTGTACAACGGTGAAGAATTGCAACTTGCTAAAAATGGATGAAAGATGCAGGAATCTGCATGCATAGTGGCATAGACCCATATAGACCCGTGTTGAACTGGGTCCCATAACCTAACTATGGTTACTCCAATTTCATAGCATCATGCGGCGGCCAAGCACCTTGCAGCCTTGCAGCTTCCACTGCTGAGGTATCTCTTCCGCTGCCGAGCAGGCTGTGAAAGGATTTCAGGTGCGAAAAATTCCGGATTCCAGAAGAGGGCAATGGGATTTTCATGGTGATGATATAATGGGGATTTATAGTGACTCGTGGTACCCGGTGTTATTTGCTGATACAATGGGGATATATGATATGATGGAATGTATATATACAATATATATATAATGTATTAACAAGATTAACCATGGCTTTGAACAGCATTTAAGTCAACCTAGAGCTACTCGCATTGAACATGACCTTCACTTCAAGGAGTCTCCAAGGTTGGACATGAATTGACCTCCTCTATGATGATGATGATGATGATGAGGGGAGGCGGTTTGACACCACTAGGCTTTATTCATTCCAGGACAGGAACTTTTTAAGTAGGTTCATGGAATCTGCAAACTAACGAGGTTGTGTTGCCAGTCCAACGCAATCTAAACAAGGTCTGGATCTTTATGGTTTTTGATGTTTTTTGATAATCAGCTACATTTTGTGGAAGGTTAAAGGCTTAAACCACATCTTTGTGCAGTGTTTTTTTCGCTGTTGCAGCATTGCAAACCCACCTTGTGGGCAGATGTTTGGATCTACTGAAATCTCGACCCCACCAGTGGTTGCTGGATGGGTTGCTGGGGGTTGCTGGGGGTTGCTGGGATGATGACATGAAACTGTCGTGATGATTTCTGGATCATTCCCGAAAATTCCCTCCGTAAAACGCAGCAGTTTTTGCCAAGATCATGGACAATCATTGATCTTGTCACAGGCAATGTTTAGGATCTACCACAGATTATATATCCATTGGTATCAAGACAGGTTTTTGTATGATTCTTTTGCAACCCCAAACCCACAAGTATGAATGGAATGGTGGTCCAACATTTTTGGCACTCAGCTTGTGACATGTTTTGAACACTTGCTTCCTAGCTTAATTGCTGTAGATTCACTGTAGATTCTAGATGCCTCTTCCCGCTTCATCCCATACCCCTTTGGGACATACCCACTTTATATACGTATGTATATATATATATACTATATACAGCGCCACCTTTCAGGGACGTATGGATAAAGGTTGTTACAAGGCGGCGTACTGCAATTATAGCGGGATGTTGTAACTCGGGATATCAATCTTCAGTTTACTTGGATGTTTTTGAGTTTTTACAAACCCAACAAAAATAGGGTCGATATGTCTTGTGAACATTTGTGAACCAACTTTTTCACCATTTTGGCTGACAAACACCAATCTAGTACCCTCTGGTAAACTAACATAACTATGGAAAATTGCCATTTTTCATAGGTAAATCAACTATCAATGGCCATTTTCAATAGCTATTTTGACATAACCAGAGGGGGTAACTTGTAGAACTCACTTGTGAACCACATGGCGCAGGCAAACTAGATACGCGCTATCGCCGCGCGACTTATCGCCGTAGCATCTGGGGGCGTGCATCTCCGCACCAGTGCTACGGAGGCTGTCAGTCCAGTTGGGACTGTCCCCTTGTATCGTGGATGCATTTGGGTCTGGGGGGTGCCACCAGATCGTCCGGGCAGACCATGACTTTCACGACTTCGGAAACCCCCAGTTGGGCGTGTCTGAAAAATGGGGGTACCAGCCATCCCCAGCCAGGCAATTTTACTCCGGATGATGATTCAAATGATGAATCGCTGGATTGAGGGCGAATTATCCTTCGGAAACTCGTAGACTTACCCGGCCTGGTAAACATACAAAAAACGAACTGGAAAATCACCATTTTTTTAATGGGAAAACTCACTATTTCTATGGCCATGTTCACTAGCTTGTTGTATGTTTACCAGAGGATACAAATTTGTATGACATGTAAGTATATATTTTGATGGTAATTGCTGCATTTTCAGAGGTGATGACTCGATGACCGGTGCTTTTCCGGAGGAAGTTGAGGGGTCGACGGTTCAAATCCACACATTGACATATGTGCCGGCTGGTCAAGTTAGATGGATGTCAAGTATGATGTAACCATATTGAGACATCGTCATTTCATTGGATATGAACTTGGATATATATATATATATATATCTTATGGGATCCATCACCAGCTATTATATATATACATATTATACATATACAAAAAACAATCATAACTATTAGTAAATCACCATTTTTCTATGGCCATTTTTAATAGCTATGTAACCAATTACCAGAGGGTACATATTAAAAAAAGAAACTCATCATGCAAGATATAACCAGTCCGTGGATGGGACGAAACGCACCATTTTCACTTGGAACTTTGCAATGGAATCGATATGGGACGACCATTTGCACCACAGTAGCCCTTTTAACTTGATCCTAAAAACCCTCTGAGTTATTTAAGATAGTCAATTTTGGAAAATGGCCCATTTGGTTGGATTTGTTTTGCTTCAATTTTGTTGAACTGGTGATGTCCAGTTCGCAACCGTAAATAACCAGAGGGTAATTGATATCGTCCGCTTAAAGAAAATCCAACCGTATACCAAGTCATGAGAGGAAACCCAAAAGCATGCAAGGCATGTGTGAAAATTGGGAGCCATATAGGAACAACAGATGCTGGTTGGTGGTTTCAAACATGAATTGTATTTTCCATAGTATATGGGACAATCCTTTCCATTGACTAATATTTTTCAAGATGGTTAAAACCACCAACCAGGATGTTGTGTTTCTTTCTCAGTAAACAGCATCCACATGTTTGGGGCACACAATAAAAGATATAAAAAACGCACACCATTGAACAAACTGATGCCCAAAATGTTTATGTTGGTTTTGTTTCACCCCTTTGACTATAGTGATATCACTCAAAAACAAAAACTGGTTAATCAAGTTATTTGCACCAACTTAGCTATTCAGTCAGTCCCACCTTGTAGTCTTCCGGTTTCCATCTGAATTCGCCGTGTGGGGAGGAAAGCACCTCAGCCCTCGTGAAACAATATAGATCTCAGCGGGAGTAGCATGGATCCAACCGTAAAATCTCTCATGTTGGATCCAACTATTAAACTACAAAGTGGGGCCCCCTAGATAACTAAGTTGGTTCATAAACAGGTTAACTAGGCTGGGGAATATAGCTATAGGATGCTGTAGGGGTTTAAGCCAACTTGGAACATCTTGGGGGGGCCATTGTATGTGAACTCGCATACCTCTGCGACCGTATGATTGCCAAAAATGGTTTCATGTCTTGCCCATATGCTGCAAGTATGCCATGTGTACCGACGTTTTGATGATTGTGGTTGGATAGTTCAACCGGGCTGGTTGATTTGTGGCAAACCCGGTGGTTTGCAACTGATCACTGAGATATCCTGGAGAGCGGCTTCCGCAGAAAGGCAGGCGTGGGGGGGCGCACATAACTATACTATTATCCATTATAATCATTATACATAACTCATTCAAAAATCATTATACAATATTATACATATTTATACATTATATTATTATACATAACTATACTATGATACATTATATATACATTATAAAAGTTGAATTCCAGCACAATTGGCTTAGAATATGCTTTGTGACCTCTTTTTTTTGATTTCCGAAGGTGGAACACAGATTGACCATGGAAATGTGTTGGAATATATCACCAATGGAGCAAATAGCAAATGGGGAACCTGAGTGGATTACTAGATGGTATAGCAAAGATATAATATGGTATATGTAAAAAGCTAGTAATGCTAGATGTATGTAATGTATACATTATAATACATCATCTCTATATATATATATACTATATATATATATATCTGTATATGATATATATTCTCTTTGGTGGTTTCAAACATGAAAAAAAAAAACATCCATTTTTCCCATTGAGCTCGACGAAATTTGGGATGGAGCCGTGGAGGTTGGTTGGAGCTGTTGGTTGGTTTCCTGGTGGTATTTTTTTTCGGTGGAAAGTGACGAAAAAACCAAGAAAAATGATGATTTAATGGGATTTAATGGGATATAATGGGATTTAATAAGATTTATATAATGGGATATGTATGTATATTATATATATATATATTGTATCCCACTAGCCTCTGGTTATGTCAAGTTATAGCTATTGAACATGGTACATAGGAAATAGTGGATTTTCCCATAAAAAATGGTGATTTTCCATAGTTTTTTGTACGTTTACCAGAGGGTAATAGATAGAACCTGGTTGGTGGTTTGGATGAATTTTGAATGACTTTCCCATCATTAATTGGGAATGGAATAATCATCCCAACTGACTTTCACTCCATGTTTTTTTCAGAGGGGTATGTATACCACCAACCAGTAGTATTGATAGCAGAAAGCTCCTGAATTCCAGATGTTTCGGTGTGAAGACTTTCAGATACGTTATGTGCGTTCATTGTTGGGGTCAACAAAACAGGGTGGTGCCCCAGTTCGTTAGCTAAGTTGGTGCAAATAAATCCAATTAATTTCACTATGGTTTATAAGTTGGTGATATATCTATAGTTGGTGCAACAGAGTCCAATTTCACTATGGTTATTGTTGGTGATGTATCGAACTAGTTAATGGGATTATAACCCATTTATAACTGGGAAGGCATCACCTTGAACTTCCGCGGGGTCTGGGAGGGCCTCAAGACAACATAAGACCCGATCGGATTCCTTGGGAGATCTCCGTTCCATCGGCCTAATCCCCCATAGTTGGATGTGTTGTTTGATCCTGATCCCCAGTCAACCAACCTGGTTTAGCCTGGTTAAAAGATGTGAAAAGGAATCCACCCCCCATTTTGGGTACCCTCTGGTTATGTCAAAATTCCCATTGAACATGGTGACTTTCCATAGTTTTTTGTACGTTTACCAGAGGGTAATTTTTTGAAAGCTGCAAAACAAAAGCTGCGGTGATGCTGCAGGCAGTGCAGTCACTGTCCAATTGCTCGGGCGGTGAACCACGAACTGGCTGAAATGGAATCATTACCTTCTGTCTACAACATGGTCCATTGCTCGGAACTCATCATCCGACATATCATATAAAGAAAATCACTAGACTTCACAGCTTTGTTTTTACGGATCCAGTTTCTGGCAGTGGGCCGTGCAAGTGCTGTACTTCCTGCGACCGTGCCGATTCTCTCCTGTTTTCGTTAATGCTTCGAAGCGGGCTGATGAACCGCCTGCAGTCACTGCCGCAGTTTGCGAACGAAAGGCGGGTACCCCCCCCCACATTGTTTTCGAACTGCGTAGGTTTGGCTCATCACTGGCCATGTGGTTTCAAACATGCTTTATTTGGGCTGCTATAATTAACACCCGGAGGAGTTCTTGATATTAGGCTGTATTTATTTAGTATTAGGGTGCGAAGCTTACCCCTAAGACTAAATTTAAATCCGCAATTTAAACTTGTTTATTTCAAAATCGATTAGGTTACGTTCCTTTGTAAAATTTAATTAAACTATTTGAAAATACGGGCCGCAATTGGATTTCGAAGCTGTCCCCAAATATTAAACTGAATAACATTATGAATAAGAAAAACACACATTTTCTATGTCAAAATTGATTAAAATATTTTTCAAATCTAATTTAACATATTCCCAAAAATTGGATTTCAAAGCTGTGAAAAAAACAAAACACGTTACTTTAATTTCAACGACGGACCCTAATGCAAAACACCCCGGTATTGACTATTTTTTTTATTAGAGGGTGAAACCTTCAAATGGAACATTAATGTTTAAATTTGAATTGTTTTCTAAATGGAATCAATTAACAATTAAATTGGCCAACTTCAAATTTGGTTCAATTTAGAATGGACCCTAGCTTTTAGCATTTGGGGTACGTTTAGAAATAGGGGGAATGTTTTTTTTTGGATGATGTTTCCGATAATCTCCACTGACATTTTGTGTGAGAGAGTTGACCATCATTGAAACCACAAGCCAGATTACCAAGCGGCTTTTTGACTGCCTTTGAGGACACTTCAATATGCGGATCAGTTGCATATAGAGGGGTGGAGTGCCAGGCTGCCATTCTTTGCCACTGTGTCTCCAACTCAACACCTAACACACAAATTGGTATTGATATGTACTGATAGTGGATGAACATCCATTCATTCATCTAGATAGTCATATAACATGCAACGATACAAGGTGTTACCCCCAAGTCATGTTCCTTGATTCATGTAACCCCCATTATTTAGTTCGATATACTCATACATATATATATATATACATACACCTGCATAATTATGTATGTATATGTATATTGTATATATGCATACATATATATATATATAGAGAGAGAGAGAGATATACACAATGTTACCCATGTAGCCAACAAACTGGGGCGTCACCACCATTCTATGCCACCAGAAAATTGAGATATCCTCAGCCGGCAGTTGGGCACCACCTGATGGTGGTCCTTGGGTGACGAGGGAAAATCGACCCGAACCACCGGGTTTCCTGGTGGTAAAAACTATGGAAAGTGACTTAACCAACAAAAATGATGATTTAATGGGATTTAATGGGATATGTATATATATATATTATATATATATATATTATATATATATATATATACTGGTTGGTGGTTTGGAAGCATGGAATTTTATGACTTTCCATTCAGTTGGGAATTTCATCATCCCAGCTGACGAACTCATATTTTTCAGAGGGGTAGGTATACCACCAACCAACCATTGCTTCCTGTAGAATGCCACCTTTCACCAAATGAAGATAGGCCGGAAACTGCGTTTTATCGGTACAGCCCTGGTAAAAACTTGCAAAAACTGGTGGATTCGATTATTATCTCCTCACTCGTCTAGGAAAACCTTGGATGGCTACTTCAGTATTTCAATCTTTGGCTATAGATCAGGATTTTACTATACATGTATATATACATATACATGAAGTAATTATACGTATGATATATATATATATATATACATATATATACATATATATATATATACATATATATATATTTATATATACATATATATATATATACATATATATATACATATATACATATACATATATACATATTTACATATGCTGTATATAGATACATATGTACATACATACATGCATGCGTGCATGCATGCATCCATCAATCCATCCATCCATACAGACATACATACAGACATACAGACACTAACCACTTAAACGGTTTATTTGTTGCACGCTGCACTCCCGGCCTCACGCACTATTCGCCTTCTCGGGCCGGTTACCCAAAAGGAAGCTCCGCATGCCCGGAGCCATGGAAAAAGTTGGCCCCCTTAAGGGGGGGCACCAACACGCGGTTTTCTGTTTGTTTGTTGTGAGAAGTTCTGAAACTTGATCCAGAACATGTGGGATATGGACGTGGATTGATATGATTTGATCTTGCATGACCATGAAAATTGATTGGGTAAAGCTTACCCATATCCTGTATGGATTATATTTATATTTACCCTCATATTCACAAGTGGATCATGTGTTAGATACTTGTTAGTGCACACCATTATATGCTTAAATTTAACATAGTTTTAAAACTATATATATATATATATTATAGTTTCTTCAAGGCCTTGCTTCAGCCAACAGAAATGGAGATACAAATGATGTGTATATATATGTACAACTTGTGGTATAAATTGGGGTGGTTTCAGATTGTCTTCACCACTCTTCCCATCGGTGTTTTTTTTGAGATATGGTGGTGTCCATAGTTAGATGGATGCAATTGGGGTGGCACCACCTTGCAGTAGGATGAGAAACCCCAAATTACCCTCTAGTAAACTAACATAGCTATTGAAAATGGCCATAGAAATAGTGAGTTTTCCCATTAAAAATGGAGATGTTCCATAGTTTTTTGTACGTTTACCAGAGGGTATCAGTAACCATGGACCCCAATTTCAATAATCATAAAGCCGCCGCGGTTGGCTTTCTTCATGGTCCAAGGGTGTGTTTGGAGCGTGTATTTGGAGCGGCCTTGCCTTGCAAATTGTCCATGAAACCTGACTCTTGCGGCTTTCTGGCTGCCTCTCGATAGTTTTTTTGCTTTTTCGGTGAAAGATATGCCTGACGCATACATATGGCCTAGTGGCCCCGACAAAAGATATAGCACTGACTCACTGATGAATCATGATAGATCACTATTTATCACGGGTTGAATTTGGTAGGATTTTACGCTTCTATTTTCTGGGGGTTGCTAGAGTGGGTGAGATACCAACAGTGCATTCAACGGGATCTCTGAAATGCTACTTGAATAGTCTCATCCTGGTCCACTAGAGAGGAACCACCCCCAATGCTATGCAATCATATCAATCATGGTGTAGTTGTTTCCAGACTTTTTGGCAAACAAATCATTTGGGCATGTTTGAACTTTTAATGACAGAGTTTAGGTAATCAAAACGGGTTTATTAACTTTTGTCATTTTCTGAGCTGATGATTGTTTATTTTCCCACTTGTGAATCGATCATGACTGCGATGTGGGGCCCCCAGTTATAATTTGGCTTATAGTCCAATTAACTATAGTTATAAATGGGTTATAATCCCATTAACTATAGATATATCACCAACAAAAACCATAGTGAAATTGGACTTATTTGCACCAACTAAGCGATTCCGAACTGGGGCACCACCCTGTGGGGAAGCTACAGCAATTCCAAGACAGATCTGACTGCATAAAGCTCGACAATGGCCACCCATTTGAACCATGAAAAGTACCCCTTGTGATTGTTTAATATAGGGTATATAGCAGGCATAATTGCCAAAAAAAAGTATGACTGGATGGAAAATCGGAGTATTGTTCATCTTGAATCAGCAGGACCGTTGGCAGCGAAGCAACGAGAGGCGTTGGCACGCATTCCAGGCGTCAGTTTGCTCGGTGTGATACAAGTGTAGTTTGAATGTGTCACTCGGAATAGATAACTCATACTGATTTCACTCAACACTCTCCGTGATGGCGAGTGGAGTCCAAAATGTCCAAAGTCCGTGTGGAGTCGTGGAGGGGATGGCAGAGTTGTGATGGACACTGAAAACACGGAATTGGCACGGAATTGGAACTCACCAAATGCCATGGTGAAAAGTTTGAGTATACTCTGTATATCCTTATTGTGGGAACATCCCAATGCTTACAAGTCATGTTTTTTTTTGGGTTCAACAGTTTCCAATCCCACTACTGGCAGCTAGGAAACATTCATTAAATGTCACTTGTGTATGACCCAATTCTGGACAGACTCATGCCATACTCTTTGTTGTAGTCCCATTGATTCAATGGCCATTTCAAGAACCTAAATTGGAGGTACTTACCATATATAAGGCCTCTATAGAGCCTATGTAAGGGAATATCCCCACACAATATGGCCTTATGTGGTACAGTACCTCCATTTTAGTATCCTGAAATTTCCATTCATTGATTGTTTATGACCATTGCAGTCCCATTGTTTACATATCACCATTCTATCCGCCCGAAACGCTTGGTTTACTTCCATGTTTGTTGGCTAAAGCCCGGATTGTTCATATGTCAGAATCGGTGAGAATAAAGATGCTTGTTAAACCCCCAATGTTTGTGGGTATTGTTTTTTTTTTCACAACAGGCTTTCCTGCATCATTTTCTGTCAACCAACCCATATGATTGGTTCAATCCCAACTTGCCCAGGCGACTTTGATGGTGAGAAGCTGGTTTTGGCCACTTTGGCATATGGTGAGAGACCGGGTCAACGGTGGTGAAAAAAAAGCGCAAAACAGCAGTTCTTGGTGGGTTAGGCCCAAAAAACGTGATGTCAATTGCTGTGAATCAATGGTACAATGTGGCCCCCCAAAGGTGAATCTTTGTTGGTTCCTTACCCCTTGGGTAATGTTTGTCAAGGTTTGCTCCCTGAGAGTGTCATCGCTGGCAGGTGAATTTTGTCCCTCTTAGCTGAGCGGAATGTCCGGCTGGCAGAGCTGAAATTCTTGGTTTATAAACCTCATCAACTATAGTCGTTACATCTACTGGTTGGTGGTTTGGAACATGTTTTATTTTTCCATATATTGGATTGAGATATATCAATATT